CATGTCTGAGGCATAATGAGTCACTTATTAAGCCTAGCTTGACTTAACCTAATCACAGTATCATTAGGGTTGTCTTTATTGAGCAGCTAAACACTGGCTCAGTTTGTTAGGCTCTTTTATTGTGTTGTAATTCTACTGTATACAACTACAAAGCAATGCGGTAATGAGCTACTATGGAATTAATTGAGCAATAATTCTACATGTCAACTATTTTGATGCTGCTGATCAAACAGACAATGATTACGAAGTTGTTAGAGGAGCAATAACATAATCATAATTCACTCGAGACCAACTGTTGAGTGCCAGACACAACTTGTTTAGATCCAAACATCAGGGTGAGCTGTGCTGCTTTTGCATGCAGGCTTCTATTGTCCCAGTTGGCGTGGTTTGGCATGACTATACACACAAACACAGCCCCTTTGTTGTATGCCGTCATCAGACATCAGCTCAGTAAATCTCTGTGCAGCTTCCAGAGGTAATAAGACAGCTTTCTGTGTGGCAAAAACCTGACTAAATGATTTAGGAGTTGAGGTTTCTGATCGTAATTGCTTTCTTAGTTACATCTGAGGACTGGAACCACAAACTATGACATTGTAGCACATCCTTTTCACTGCTGGCCACAGGCACTGGTATTCTACGTAAGGCTGTGGTCGACTGGACCGTCCGAGATAGGCCAAACTTAACCGCAGTGATACATCTATCTCCTTTTCAAACACCCACTTCTCCTCAGATAAAGACTGCCGTAGCAGCCATGTGTATTGAATTTAGACCATTCCTGAGGGTATCCTGTTCTTATCAGGGGTCAGATAAGCTCATTTCACAGGGCCTCACCTCTGCTGGGCTACCAACAGGACCGCACTCTGACAAGAGCTGACCTCCTCAACCTCTTCTTAACGTCTGAAAGAGAAGTCAAAAAGGGAGGCAAGTCGATGACTGAATCTTTCTAGGAGCTACATTTGTGGCAAAATCAAATATGTAGTCTTTGAAACAAACAAAGCAACCTTGACATTCCTGATGGGGAGTATTCAGACTGCAGACTCAGTCACAATCCAGGGTCAAGATTAGACTGGGGAGTCCCCAGAGAAGAAAGTGGTGTCTGTAAACTATGTAATTTTGTAAGCAAATGAAAGGAAAGCATACAACCTTATCTCAACACCCTTGTTCCCATGGTTGTCTTTGTGAGCCTACCATTAGGCTCAGTACCTGGGTTCAGCCAGTTCTTTGAGCTAATTGTCTTGAACTTGGGAGGCCAGATGAAGGAGAAAGCACCAAAATCTAGTCAGGAGACTCACTTTGGCTTACCAGTCTAAGGGCCCCTTTTTTTAAATCAAGCCTCCTGAGGTGCCCCTCCACATCAACCGCACCCCGTCCAGGCCCTGCAGACATCTCAGGCTGACAGCTCTTGAGCCAGATACTGGCAGTACAACAGATCAGTCATAATTGGCCCCTATTCATTTCTCAGGGATAATCCTCGCCTAGGTTGAGCCTTTTCTGTTCCGAGCGTCATTTTTTCGCTAATGTTTACACAAGGTATGTATCGGTTTCTCCTCCTCCTGAGGATTTCACTCCGGCTGCAGGGCTGTATACCAAGCATGTGTGTTTTAACGTGTGTCTGAGGCTTCTGCTCCTCCAGCGTGGCTGCTAGGGCTCAAGACCTGAAGTGACAAAGACCTTGTGAATGTCTGACTCAGAGACAACTGTCAGTGTTCAATGGGCTGGATTAAGGCAGAGCATAGAACCGAGCGCACCCTGACATGTTGACATGTTCTACTAAGTGCATTTCAAGGTGGATTTAACCTGTTTGCTCTATTGTGGAGGGACAGAAGAGACACAATTGCTTAATGGGACTGGCTATTCTTGAGACGGTGGGTGAAGTTTGCTCCCGCTGTCTGGGTTAGGACTGACACCGGCTTCATTCTCAGGGTGAGTGAGGCTGCTGTGGATCCTGAGGAGGTTCAGGGGTTTCAGAGAGCTCTGTCCTTAACCAAACAAACACAGTGGAATTTCTGCCATTGTTGGTGCAGAGGGTTGAGTGACAGGGCTGCATAGCAGAGCTGCCTGTCAGCAGAGACGACTCTGGGTCAAAGTGTGACCACCCCTTGTGACACTGCTTAATATAAGACTAAGCCTAAACCTACGCAGATTGATATTTACATTGATACTGTCAGTGATTCTCTGGATTTACTTTGTCGATGCCACTGCAGCCCACCCTTCCAATTACAATTTAGAAATTTCTATAAAGGAATATATTTTCCTACTAAAAGATGCAGGGAAAGATTTCTACTGACCATCTTCTCCAATTCTAGGAAAGAAAGGAAATATGCCTATTTCCCAAAATGTTGAGTTTTTCCTTTAAAGGCCCACTGTGTAGGATTTGGAGGGATTTATTAGTAGAAATGGAATATAATATAGTATGTATGTTTTCTCTATTGTATAATCAACTGAAAATCAGTATCATTGTGTTTTCGTTACCTTAGAATGAGCCATTTATATGTACAAAGGGAGCTGACCTGCGTCCACGGAGTCCACCATGTTGCTACAGTTGCCCAGAATGGAAAAACCACACACTAACTCAAGACAGGGCTATTTGCATTTTGCATTGGCCACTAAGAAGTCCCTCTGTGATGAGAGCATTGCAAAAACATAGCTTTTTTAAATGTGAGACTGCTTAATGTCTGGATCTTATGTTATCAGAGAACAAAGGTGAGCACACATTAGCAGGTGCTAGGCTAACAGCCCGTCTCCCGACATGTCAGCATCAGAGAAATACTGATTTGTGACATGAAACTGCTTTATTCAGTGTTTTTAGTGGTTTTAATCTCCAGATCTGTTCATTTTGGAGTGGATGAGGTATATGACTCACTGTAAAAACCTTATGAATAATGAACACTGAAGGAACTCTGACCATGAGAAGTTCCAGCTGGTTGCAATCTGCAATCCTCACCACTAGATGCCACTAAATGCCTCCTAAATCTTACACACTGTTCCTTTAAGTATTACATATATACTTTCTATTCATATTTTTTTTTTTTGCTGCATTCTGCTTTTATTTCCTTTCTGTAACACAGCTATCAGTTTCATTTTCTCTCAGTAAGTATATACATTTTGTTTTTGTATAATGAGCACAGCCCAGTATAAAGGAACTATTTAAATACATGCTGTATGCTTCTGTTTACGTGTACACAATCATGCACATGAATATGCAATGCAGATGCAACTGAATATGCAGTCATTTATGTAGAACACAGAACACTCAATCAGTGAACATCATTACTTTAATAGTGACACTGTACATTCCAGTGTGTTATTACTTTACATATAAATTATGTATAACAAAAGCTTTAATGGAAAATTACACTTCTCTATTTACAACTACTACAGTTGGCAGCCAGGTGACATCAGGCCTGCACTCCCCTTTTTTGGGTTTTAGTGCAGGTCATCATTAGCTGGCTGACCTGAAAGTTGAACCCTGACCTCCCTGTGGGGCACAGCTGAGGCAAGCTGGTCAAATCTTGGGCCTGGAGTGACTGATCAGCAACAACAAAAAGATATTCATATTAGACAGACACATCATAAAAAATAAATATTGATGATTTCATTTTGTGCGTGTGAGCAGCAATACTGTGTAAAAGATATAGAGCAGATGAAAAAAACACAGTGGAAGTGGAGAGTGAAAAGCAAACAGACATTACAGTTACACTGATGGCCTCAATAACTTCCTTCACATTGCCTTGGGCCCACCCCGAGGTCTCTGAAGTGGCTCGTTAAGCACAGGAACATAGACTCAATTACCCAGGGCAAACGCACTGCTACTGCTCGGTGTTGTGTTGGTTGGTTCTGTCCGTCCTGTTGCCATCCTCCCCCCTCCACCCTGAGCCCCCCAGGCCCCTGCCGTGCAGCGCCGTAGCATGTGAGCCCTCTGTGCTCCGAGTGATAGAGTCAAGCTGTTCCTGCTGAGCGGAGGTCAGGGTCCTTCAGTCAGCACCTCGGCCCTGAACAGAGCACACAGGAATCCCCCTTCCCTCCCTAACCAGGACTGAAACTCAGCTCTCTCTCCTCTGGCCCAGGTCCAAATAAACCTGGTACCTCTCTCTCTCTTTTTCCTCTCTCCATCTCCTGGCACACTGTCACTCCCCTCATCGAAATCATTAATCAGACGGGGCAGATTAGACTTCAAATAAAAATAAACTACACCCAGCAGCCTTCTCTCAGGTCCCCCGATTTCTTTAGCAACCCACTTTATTGACAGCCCTCCTCCTCCTCCTCATCCTCTACTTAATAACCCCAAGATGTCCAGTGCAGCCAGCAGCTTGAACATTTGAGGACTTTGGCAAACTGTGGGGACCTATTACTGCTTTATTGATATAAACAACTTGCCTTATCTTCAAGGGTGATGACTCTTTAGGCCTAACCTGCCATCCATGTAAAAACACAACAGATAACCCTTATCAGTTTGGCACCACTAAAGCCAGTCTGCTTTCAAATGTCATCCAAATGCACCTATCTTTTATAGGGATTAAAGGGATTAAATGTGCAACCTGAATGTATTCAGGCTTATGTTTTATCCATTGACTGCTTTGTACTGTCTTCCATTCTGGGCTCAGAAAATAGGGGTAGAATTGGAGGGCAACAGTGCCACCTTTGGGTGAGGCTGGGTAGTACAGTTAAAGCAGAACTCTCACAGCACTGTTAGCAACAGGTAGAGTTGCCCTGTGCCTGCTGTGGCATCCACATGGCGTTTCACAGCACATGTTTGAAGTCTCACTGTATTCTTTAATGCATCGGGATGGAGAAGGGCATGGGAGGAAAAGTAAAGGGTCTGGAGTCTGCTGGGCCATAAACCAGCCGGGGCTCCCTGGCCAGGTCTTGGCTGGCTGACTGACAGACGGCCCACCGACTGTTTGTGTGTGTCCATGGGAAATGGGGCGGTGTCGCTTCGGCGACGGCCCTGGGGCCATCCATCAGTGTCATGGGGGGGGGGGGGGGGGGGGGGGGGGGGGGGGGGGGGGGTGTATGGTATGTGTCACCTCTAAGACTAATGGACAGGAAGTACAGCCGGAGAAACAACAATATTTGCAGAATATATATATATTCAGAAAAACGTTTGGGTTCGGCCCATGGTTCTTGTACAGTTTTAACAAAACCCTGAACACAGGCCTTAATCCTGATTGATGAGCCTGTTTATTTAAAAGACGCTCACTCTGCGGCCAGGGCTCTCACTAACCTGATCTGTAGTCCTGTGCTCTCACAGGATACACTCACAACATGCACGTTTATGAGATAATCATAGTCTTTGTTACCAAATGATGTGTTGGTGACACTAACCCGGGCAGTCAGTGATGACCTACATAACTGACCCATTGCACAAGAGGTGCAGCAAAATCCCAGAGAGCAATGTGAAACTGGGGGCCATTTTGGGGCCATGTATAAGGAGATGGACAAAGAGAAAGAGCAGGAGAAACCCAGGATAACTTCTTTCTACTGCCCTAGAGGGACCTTGTGTGCTCACTAGTGTTCAGAGACCGAGGTGCTTAACCTCAGCAGCCGGTTACCGTGGCGTCCAAGCCGGACCGCTTTGTGATGTTGGCCTTGACCACCTCCTCAGCACAGGTCGGGTGGATGCCTACTGTCTGCAGCAGATGGGAATATGTTGCTCCACACCTGAGACACATACAAACACACAGGGAGGTCATTCAGGTTGACTTTACTCACATTCTCTCATTGATGGCAACTGTACAAATGATCTGTTATCTTCTAATCAGTCCAGTCATTTCTGCTTACACTGTCTCTGCTGACAACCTTAGAAAGGACCCAGCTTTTAACTGTATCCGAGATGTGATTCAATAAGGCTGTTATTTACATAACATCTTTAAAATCAGATGTTATTAATTCTAAATTAACATTTTAGAAATACAAAAAAGGGTGAGTGGGCCAGAGCTTGACCTCAAGACTTCTGGGCCCTTTGTAAGGGGGTAGGGTAGTAAGATATTCTGGTGTATTTGCAATCACAGACTATTTATTACAAAGCATAGACTTTGCTTTTAAAAAATTATAATCTAGTCCCTTGCAGTATTATTAGTGAGGTTTTCTTTTAAATTAAACACAATTTAAACTGTTTTCTCAGTGATGCCTTTGTGGTCCTTCAGTCAGGTATCTCATCATATGGCATAAAAACTAAAGCTACCCATCTAAACCAAACCAAAAGTATCTCAAAGCTATGTTTTTATTGGTGTCTCACAATTTAATCTTTGGTTTGCTGTAAGAAATATACTTAAAAGTATTGTTTTTTAAATGCACAAATGAGTAAACAAAATCAGGGAAAGTCAAATCCTACAAAAAGAATCCATACTGCACATCTTGGTGACCCTGAGAGAGTTAAAACACTTCCATTCAAAACTATTTCTGCTTGGATTGCACATTTACCTTGAATAAAAATCTAGGATTTGTTAAACTTACTGGAGGCCCATTGCAAAGCCCTGTGTGACTTCTCCAGCATTTGGACCAGTGAAGTGCAGACCCAGGATCTTCTGGTTTCCACCCCGCTCACATACCACCTAAGGAGTTAGAAAACTGGATTTACTCCAAGGAGCTAAAGCCAAGGAGGTGCTGGTGGTAGCTGAGTACACTATACTTGTTTTTCTGTACATTGCGTCCTCATTTGCTTTTGTCTGAGGCTGTCAAAATAACCATTGCATTTTAGCACTATTTTAACCTTTTATATTATAAAGCAGGACAAGTGGATCCCAAAGCTGACTTGCTATGGGCCACAGACAGATAAATCAAAGGTTGAAAGGATTATGATTAAAACACTCAGACTATTTCATTTCTTGGGTCAATCCCTCTCAAAATGTCCTTTGAGTAGCAGTCTAAACCCCACCAACCTGCTGCAGGAATGTCAATGAAATCTGCTCAAACATACCTATGAAAAAGTCACTGAGCAGCTTGTTCTGCAGATTAACCCTACCTTTAAGTAACACTGGCTGGCATCTCGCTCGGCGACAGTGAACTCCAGAGGCTTGTAGAAGGCATGGTAGACCTACACAGACATAAAACAGAGGACAAATAATATTATTATCTGGAATGAAATGCAACATAGAATTATTATTGTTGTTTTTAAATCTGAGCAGTTTTATTTGTTATTCTGCCTAAAGACAATCAGTACTTCACAGCAATGCCAAAGTTTCCAGCAGTGATGATGATCTCTTCATATGTACATTTTGCAAAGTGATGCATTCACTTTTTCTGAGAATAGCAATACAAATAACATAATAAAGACAGGTAAACAAAAATGCTTTTGTGCAAACAATACACAATGCCTAATTAACGAATTTGCTTTACAAGCAAATTTAAAGCCCACTGATGTTAGAGATGATTTTTTTTTTTACAACAGATTAAGGAAAACAATAACAACATACAATAAATGAGTTTATTAAATGGTATCAGGTCATAGCCTCAATTTACACACTGTATTTAGATTAATTATGAGCTCATTCTGACTAACAATGCCATTGCAACACTTTATTAGCATTAATTTCAACACACTGTACACAGCCAGAATAAAAACATCTTTGCTTGCTCATGCTAGTGATTTATTTCAAACTCCTCACTGAAAACCTGTGTGTAAGTGTGTTTTATTCTGCGGGCGAACGTGCCGACACAAGTTGTGAGGGCCGTGCAGCTGTTGGGGGCCGGTGCTGCAGTTCCTCCTCAGATCTCAGCGCGTCTGTCATCACCCCATACACACCTCAATCAGGCCTCCTGCTCGCCTGTCAGTCACAGCGAGCAGCCCCACCTCGCCGGCTAAACCGTTTATCGACGGGCCTCGTGCAGGTGTTGGCTAGCATCTGGCAAACACCGCTCGTGTATGTAAGCACGTAAAATACTGAGCTGTTTGCCGTTGCACTGGATGTGCGTGTCACTGTTTGTTCAGGGGTTATAGGACACTGTATTTTTTTTATGCAGACTGATGGCAATAACAGGCCACTAACACTGCCTGTGTAACTATCCTTGTGCATGTGCGGCATGTAGCCATTCATTTCTTGATAAAGAAACTAAAGTTATTATACAACAAAGTTCTAGTAACAATAGTGGACCAATGTTACACCAGTTCTGTGTTGTCATATCATAAAGAGTGTACCATTCCTCATCAGAGACATGATTCCTGCTCGCTGTTCAATTAATTTCACAGTACGTTTAGAACTTGTACCGACAACCTACGAAGTGCCCTTGTCCACAAACCTTGTATTTCAAATTAAAGTTAAAATTCTTTCCCAAAACTGATGTTAACTTTTTAATATATTAACAAAAAAAATTAAATAAAAAAGAGCATATCTAAATATATAATTTTCCAAAGATTATGTTTTATGTTATGAGGCATTTCACAGTATTGTGAGCACTTGAGTTGCTACAAGCCGCTAACACTGCTAAGTTCTGGGGTTCACTCAGGCATCCCCTGTTTACTGTGGGCTTTCCTGGTGTGTATTAAAAAGTTAAGAGCATGTTTGTTTACCGCTACATTTTCAGCACGCATCCAATAGTAAGCTACAAAAATTGCAGACACAGTACAGAAGAAATAGCCTGGAAATCCAGACCCAAATCTAGAAAGATTTAGGGTCTGGCTGTGAGTAATGAAAATGGCCCAACTCGAGGGGTGGCACCAAGCATGCATTTGAAAATATCACTGCACACAATTGGATAACACTACGACCAATCAGAACAATAGATTAGACTCTTGCCGTATCCAGTCGGCAAAACAGCAAAAACATCCTTCTTGCAAAGGAAAGATTCAAGCGCTGTCTTCTGTTCCTCTTTTAGAGAAAAAGCCAAGTCTAACTCATTCACTGTAGCGGCCAAAGCCGTTTCAAACAACTGGTGTTCATCTGTAGTCATCTTGTAATGTTTACTGACTGATTCCAGATTTCATCATCGCAGCGCTGTTGTCATCTGTTGAACTCGCCTCTGGCCCGCCTATATCAGATACACCGATGTGATTGGTGCAGCTTGGCAACAGCATGGGTAATGAGCATCATTACTTTTTTTTATCTTATTCTTTTTTTTAGATTATTTTTTTGGGCTTTTGCCTCAGAGTGAAATGGGGTGAGAGAGAGACACACAGCAAATGGTTGCAAGCCGGAGTCGAACCTGCGACCGCTGCACCGAGGCATCGCCTGGGGTGCAGGCGGTGGGGTGCCTGCACCCCAGGAGGATAGGGCGCCGGCACTATCCACTGCGCTACCGACGCCCCAATGAGCATCATTACTGATTGCCAGAGTGACTCTCTGAGCAAATTCAAATTGTGTACTCGCGAGAACTCTGGATTTCCAGGGTACAGAAGAAATGTAAATGTTGCAAATCTGGGTTTGGCTTTCACTTTCGCTCGTGATACCATTTACAAACATTACCCGACAATTCCTGCATAGTATACCTTTAACTTCAAATGTGGACATACAGTACAGGCCAAAAGTTGGGACACACCTTCTCATTCAATGCGTTTTCCTTATTTTCATGACTATTTACATTGTAGATTCTCACTGAAGGCATCAAAACTATGAATGAACACATGTGGAGTTATGTACTTAACAAAAAAAGGTGAAATAACTGAAAACATGTTTTATATTCTAGTTTCTTCAAAATAGCCACCCTTTGCTCTGATTACTGCTTTGCACACTCTTGGCATTCTCTCCATGAGCTTCAAGAGGTAGTCACCTGAAATGGTTTTCCAACAGTCTTGAAGGAGTTCCCAGAGGTGTTTAGCACTTGTTGGCCCCTTTGCCTTCACTCTGCGGTCCAGCTCACCCCAAACCATCTCGATTGGGTTCAGGTCCGGTGACTGTGGAGGCCAGGTCATCTGCCGCAGCACTCCATCACTCTCCTTCTTGGTCAAATAGCCCTTACACAGCCTGGAGGTGTGTTTGGGGTCATTGTCCTGTTGAAAAATAAATGATCGTCCAACTAAACGCAAACCGGATGGGATGGCATGTCGCTGCAGGATGCTGTGGTAGCCATGCTGGTTCAGTGTGCCTTCAATTTTGAATAAATCCCCAACAGTGTCACCAGCAAAACACCCCCACACCATCACACCTCCTCCTCCATGCTTCACAGTGGGAACCAGGCATGTGGAATCCATCCGTTCACCTTTTCTGCGTCTCACAAAGACACGGCGGTTGGAACCAAAGATCTCAAATTTGGACTCATCAGACCAAAGCACAGATTTCCACTGGTCTAATGTCCATTCCTTGTGTTTCTTGGCCCAAACAAATCTCTTCTGCTTGTTGCCTCTCCTTAGCAGTGGTTTCCTAGCAGCTATTTGACCATGAAGGCCTGATTGGCGCAGTCTCCTCTTAACAGTTGTTCTAGAGATGGGTCTGCTGCTAGAACTCTGTGTGGCATTCATCTGGTCTCTGATCTGAGCTGCTGTTAACTTGCGATTTCTGAGGCTGGTGACTCGGATGAACTTATCCTCAGAAGCAGAGGTGACTCTTGGTCTTCCTTTCCTGGGTCGGTCCTCATGTGTGCCAGTTTCGTTGTAGCGCTTGATGGTTTTTGCGACTCCACTTGGGGACACATTTAAAGTTTTTGCAATTTTCCGGACTGACTGACCTTCATTTCTTAAAGTAATGATGGCCACTCGTTTTTCTTTAGTTAGCTGATTGGTTCTTGCCATAATATGAATTTTAACAGTTGTCCAATAGGGCTGTCGGCTGTGTATTAACCTGACTTCTGCACAACACAACTGATGGTCCCAACCCCATTGATAAAGCAAGAAATTCCACTAATTAACCCTGATAAGGCACACCTGTGAAGTGGAAACCATTTCAGGTGACTACCTCTTGAAGCTCATGGAGAGAATGCCAAGAGTGTGCAAAGCAGTAATCAGAGCAAAGGGTGGCTATTTTGAAGAAACTAGAATATAAAACATGTTTTCAGTTATTTCACCTTTTTTTGTTAAGTACATAACTCCACATGTGTTCATTCATAGTTTTGATGCCTTCAGTGAGAATCTACAATGTAAATAGTCATGAAAAAAAAGAAAACGCATTGAATGAGAAGGTGTGTCCAAACTTTTGGCCTGTACTGTATGAGGAGCCTCTATTCAAAATGCTACAAATCCATTTTGGAAATTCACTGCTTACGGCTGTGTTATAGCAACACATCTACAGTATCTTACCTCCAGGCCGTCTTTTCCATGCCTCTTCTCAGCCTCCTCCTCAGATAGACCTACACAGCCATACTCAAGGGGGGTGAACACTGTGGTGGGCACCTGACACACACACATGGACCGATTAAAATAATGATAATGACCGTTATTATAAGTATATATTTGTTTCGAACACTTTTAAAGCAAAAATAACAAACCGTTCTTTACTTCCAGTTTTTCAATTCTAAAGATTTGTTTCCTTTCTTTGTTACAGGTGATAGTAAATGTTTTTTTCTATATCTAGTGAATATTTGGGGGTTTTGGACTGCTGGTCTGACAAAAGATATTTGAATACACCTTGAACTGTGCTAAATTAAAACATTTTTCACCTTTTTCTGACATTTTTTTGACCAAATGATCACCCAAAATGTTGAGAAAATAATTAGCTGATGAACTGATAATGAAAATAATCCCTACTATAAACTCAAAATCCCTACTATAAATTTAAAAAAAAAAATTGATTTTACAATTAGTAATTATTTTTGCGCATACAGCAGGGGGGTTTGTGGGACCCCAGACCATGAGGAAGTAAGGCCAAAGTCAAAACTAACAGGACCCTGCTTAGGTCTGACAATTACAGTTGTCATGTATTATGGAGTAATCATTACCTTTAGTTTGTATTTCAATACAGTGATGGGAGCTAATCATTTTGCACATCATAACAATATATTCCAAACCTTTTCGACACCCAAACTATGCCAAACAAAATTTAGTTCATCTGTCTTAGAAGTCCTCTGTGACCACATGTGAATATAAGGATAAGCTGTAATAAAATATACATTAAGACTTGCAGAAAAGCTGAATGTAACTAAACATATCATAATGACACTCTGGTATGCCAGGACTGAAGAGAGGCTGGAGGCATACAGTAAGATGAGTGGGTATATCAGAGACTAACAGCAAAACACCAAAATGATTACAATTTGCCTCAGATTAAGCAAAAAACAACCGACTCACAGACACAAGCTATGAGAAGTTGGAGGGAAATGATCAGCCTCCAAGTGTGTATGTGTGTGTGTGTGTGTGTGTGTGTGTGTGTGTGTGTGTCTTACATTGTCATAGTTCATGAGTTCAGTGCCGTGACCCGCCAGTCTACGGGCAAGAAGCTTTCCAGCTTTAATGGCTGTTGGGGTCAATTCAGGACGACCCTAAAACACAAGACAATTGAATTTAAGTCAGTATGTGTGGACCTCAAACACATTAGATCCAGATCTGTTTTTTTAAATGTGTTTACTTTACTATAATTTACAGAAGTCACAAGTTTAAACCATTTGGTCTGTTTTTTCTAATTTCAATCCGTTCTAATTACACATATTAATACTCAGTGCAGAAATAGAGTGAAATACAAACACACAGACAAAGTGGGCCATGAGTCTGTGACTGACACAGGCGACAAGTGCTCAACATTTAAATCATCTAGAACTTTGTAAAAAAAATCTTTGCGTCTGTGTTTTGCCTTTATTGTTCTGGATGTTTGCCAAAACAGACACACACACACACACACACACACTGGATGGTGCAGGAAACAGTAGGGCTGCGGGGCAATTCTAAAGGCATGACTTAAACCTGTTAAATTACCACCACACATCCTGTTGTCCCAAACATCTCCTGCACCTCTGCATGTATGTGGATGTGTGCTGTGGTATTCCAGTAACTGTCTTTCGTCATTATAATGCATTTCTTGGCACTGTTTTCTGACGAGAAAAAAAACAACAAAGCACTGGACAAAGTGAGATATCAACTCCCTGTTTAAAGAGAATTGAAAAAAGCCTCTGTGCTGCTATGATAAGCTGACAGACATATTTGGTTGAAGCACTACTCATCAAAGCGAACTGTCAATCAAAAAGAGTGTGTCATGAGGCCTGGGAGGCAGGAAGGAAGCACACAGCTGGTCGTGGTGAAAAAACAACATTGACATTACATGCAGCAGGTAAAACTAGTATTAACATGGCTGGGTTAGCTCAGAACACAGTCACTGAGCCAGAGATTATATGAAGTTGGGCTGGAAGGGTTTCATTTAAAACTCACGCTGTGTCCTAAATATCATACTTAGATGCTATTTAGTACAGTGTGCAAACATTGGACACTACACTGGCATAAATATCCCACAGTGCAATGAGGTTGTGATGACAACGTTCATAGCAGACAATGGTGCACAGCAACTAAGGCAGTTCAGTAACATCGATAGTGCTAAGTGTCAGTACAAGGTTTCACTTTGCTTTGACGTAATATATTTTTTAAATTAGTTTAGACTATTAGTTTATTTACTTTATTAATCCCCTGAGGGGAAATTCAATGTTTTCACTCTTGCTTGTCAATTACACACAGGTCCGAAAGACACACACATGCACAAACAGGACCTATACATGCACAAAGTGGAGAGATGTCAGAGTGAGGGGGCTGCCCTTGGTGAGGCGCCCGAGCGGTTGGGGGGTTCGGTGCCTTGCTCAAGGGCACCTCGGCAGTGCCCAGGAGGTGAACTGGCACCTCTCCAGCCACCAGTCCACACTCCATATTTTGGTCCGGACGGGGACTCGAACAGGCGACCCTCCGGTTCCCAACCTAAGTCCCTATGGACAGAGCCACTGCCGCCCCACCAAAGCCATATGGAACGCCTGCTCTATCCACTAAGCCACTAACACCTATGAGCCGAAGGACTCCTATAGACAAAGAAAACACAAAAACTCAAGAGGTTCATCATGCTTGCTGTCAGGTATTGCAGATGCCCGTACAGCTGAAGTTGGCATAGGTTACCATGGTTATTTATCTCTAACCGGCAAGAGGGCGATCAGGAAGTGACTTGGTAATCCCAACTTAGTGCGGTATGAGGTGCATAGTGTCCATTTGTGGAGTGGTGCTGATAGGTTTTCAATGTAGTGAGTAGTTGGCACCCACAGGTGGTCATTTGAGTGGGTCCCCAATAAAATTTGTGTTCTTTTACAAACTGTATTGTTAAACTCATGTTTGATAATTATGGCTCTTTTAATGGCTATATTTAAGTATCATGAAAATGTATCTGAAAATTAAATAAAATCCAAAATCCAAAGACTTTATTTGACATATGATTGTGATTTGTGATAATAGAAATAAAAATTCAAATAAGTTACTGTATAAATTTAATAGTTCAACATTTAAAAACAATATGCTTATTTGTTTTCACTCTGAGAAGAGTTTATGCTTTCCTCTCACTTATTGAAGCTATGAACAAAACAGGAAACAACAAACAACAAAACTGGTCTTGTGTGAGATGTATGAATTGTATGGTTAGAAAATGATGGTCTATAGTGAAAATTCAAACAGGGCATGCCCTGTGGATGGCAAACCATCATTAGGTCGTCTCTGACATGAATCAATGCAGTATCAATCAGTAGCACAATCACATTATCACAATGTAGCATTATTAAGGGGAAAAACGCGGCGCGTCCCCTGGACGGTAAAGCACCATGACATGAGTGAATACAGCATCCACTGTCACAGCAGATGTCGTGGTGTAACATAACAGGAGTGTCTGTAGTTAATATCCTACATATTTGTGAATCTGAGTGTATTTTATGAACCTTAAAATACAAGGTTATTGTCTACCAGCAGTCCCTAGGGACCTCTGTGCCGCCCTGCAGTCTTTACCAGGAAACAGCAGCGTACCGAGCTTCAGATAGCCAGGATGAGAACATGTGGGAGAGCGGACAGGTGTGAGATCTGCACATAGCACTAGGACAACAACACCAGCACGTCATGGACAGTATGATGATGACACAAGTTCCACACTCAGCGGTTTCTGTGACATAAGAAATAGTTTCAAAACTAGTAAAGTCACCTAACGCCACTGTTTCAACACAGATTGGTGGTCCACAGTCAGTCCTTGGCATATATTGACATGCAGCATGTGAATGCATGGCACATGTCAGTACACTATTTAGTGCAGTTCAAGCAGTATTTTGCGAACCCTATATTGGGGAAGTTGATATTGTGATGAAGGTAAATTTTCCATATATTGTGCAGCCCTAGTTTACACATACAGCTGTGGGGTTTGTGAGACCCTAAACAATGAGGAACTCAAGCCAATGTCAAAAAACAAAATTATTATTATTTTTTTAATCTAGAATGTATCCTTCCTTACATCAGACATACCACAAATCTTTATGACCTTAACTGATGGTAAGGGCCTATGTGTTAGTGATAGCAAGTGTCAGATAAATGGGAATACTCTTTTACAGGAAGCGTGACATTAAACAAGTTTTGCTCTCATTGGTGGTTATGTAACTCATGTAGAGTACAAGCTGGAGGTCAACATTTGTTTACCACGCATTACATCTCTGACTCAAGTGTCATCAAGATCTACTTAATATATTTATTCCAAAGACATACAAATTCCAGCATTTTAAGGAATGGTACTGAGCTAATTCTCCAGAGCTAATATGTGTTTAAGTTAAATCCCAGATTTCTCCCATACAGCTGACAGACCTCAGCTCAAGCTAAACTTTGAAAACCATTTACAGTGACTCTGTCTTAATTAAGCCTAATTATTATGCAGAGAGTTTTCCCATCGGTGACTGTTACAAGGGCTGCTTCTGCTGTCAGAGTCGTGTCTGTGAACAACATGTACCTCTCCGATGTCACCAAAAGCATAGATGTTTGGCACCGAGGTGGATTCGTCGGCGCCCACAACTATTTTCCCCGTCTCCTTTTTGAGTTGCACACCAAGCTTGTCCAGGCCCAGGGCTTTGGTTTCAGGGGCTCTGCCTGAGGTCAATGAAAGGAAACAACACAAGGAGAATATTACATTACAACTCAGGAGAGACAGAGGTGTGGGAGAGGAGACAGGCTCTCTGTACAGTGTTCACAACACATTCTGCTGAGGTTTTAAGGCATGTGCCATCACTGCCTTCAGAAAACCTTGTCCAACAATTACAGAGTTATCAAAAGCAGTTGATACTGTAGGGGGGTTATCTGTACTGTGTTCCTCACACCTACAGTAGCATGCAGCTGGATTATTCCATACTACAAGTATGGAATAATCCTGCGTTCCAGTCAAAGTCGAAGGTCAGAACTTCCCAGTTGAAATTTCCAGCGTCCAACCTCCAAGGGTCCCATGTATCCAACGACAACCGTAAAAAACATGGCTGATTGTGACAAACTGATGTTTCTTTAGCAAATGTAGATGCAACTGAACTCTTAGCAGTGCAGCCTCCTTGAAACAGAGGACGAAAAAAAATGACGCACAAGGTAACAGACGCCATTATAAATAATATTTTACTGCACTTTAATACTTGGAAATGTATCTAACCTAATAAAAAACTGTAGTCTACAAGTACGTCCTACCCCCCTCCCCAACTGATTGAAATGTACACTTCCATGGGTGCTGCCATTGTTGTGTGACGTCAAAGAACTGCTTCTTCATTTTTTTTGCAGGTATTTGGTTGTGAAGACATTTCACTCAAAACCAAAACTATTAATGTCATGGAGACGCTAGAGAAGAAGTCAGTGGAAAGTATCCAAAGTAATAAGAATTGATCCTTTGGAGACCATGAATGTCTTTAGCAAATCCATCCAACAGTTGATGAGATTTTTCAGACCAAAGTGGTGGACTGACGGTGCAATTCCTAGAGCCATGTCGCTAATATAGCTAAAAATAGCAAACATCTGTCAGCTCCGGCCCCTCAAATCTGCGGATTTTCTTGTTTTTAACATTTTCATATCATTGTATCATCGAAATTGAGTTCTGCACTGTTGGTTGAACAAAATGAGCAATCAACTAATCAACAATTACCAGCTCAAATCTTAACACACCAGTACCAGTGCTGACCTTCAAATATAAATGAAGGTCAAACCCTAATTCAGAAGTGTTAAATAACAAAACAACCACAACATCTGGCCAGGTGAGAGAGAGGAGTAGAAACTGATGAGTAGTTGGGAATTGGTATCCCATCGACCTCCTGGGACATCCAAAGGTGTGATTTCTGACACTTCCTGGGGGACGGCTGACTGTTGCTGTCGACACGGAGTCTCTATGTGATGGGGCATGGACCACTCACTCCCCTCCCCATTCCATAGCTCCTCGCAACCTGCCTGGGTAGCATAATAAACACCCGGCCCTGAGCTACCCATGTAGATGCTATCGGACAGCAAAAATAACAAACCCCTGAGACCCCTTTTCCTGGCTGGAGCCGAAGAACAACGTCCTCCCCCTCTTCTCAGACTGGGGGGGCTACAGGGACCTGTCTAGTGCGCCACAGCATGGGTGGTTAAAGGCAATGGAGAGCACAGAGAAGGAGAAGAGAGGGGAAGTTAGGCAGTCATGACCAATTCCCAAAAGCAAGACTTCTAAATATTTTCCTGTCCTATATGTCCACAACAGTGGAACAGTCTACATATACATGTCATTCTCTCAGTGAAATCATTTCAAGTGAACTGCAGTGGAATTTAGCTATTAAGATTTTGAAACAGAATTTTCTAATCTGTACTTATATTATTTAAATCCTGCGATTAAAAAAAGTAAGAATATATCTAGAATATTCCCTTACAATGAATAAGAGTGACCAGTGGTGTGGCCAAAAACAGCTCTAAGGCCTTTAAGATTTCTTTACTATACATTCAAAGGAAGTATATAAACAATATCTTAATGGATTATAAACACACTCTAATGAAGTTGCCAGCTGAAATTTTTATTAGTGTATTTGTCAGCAATTATCTTATGAAGTATAAATAGTAAAATAGATTACACAGCTGTAATCACATAACTTATAGCATATCTTCACACTTTACATGAATATGAAATAGGATATATACAGTATATAACAATATTTAGTGATTTGATGTATTATCATGTATCAGTTTACATATTATTATGAATTACTTATGTGTAAATTCGATGTCTTCACTCTATCTGCTGCTGAAGGCCATGAGATGTGTGTGTGGAGAAATTTGTAAGAGGACCGGGGGGGGGGGATTGTTTTGGTCAAACCACCATTTCAGGGTCAAGCATTAATCTTCATGACTTTTGAACACTTTTTTAAAGTTTTAAACCTGCCTGTGAAGAATTTATACATGTGTTTAACTGTTAATAAATGCTTTAAGACATGTGTAATACTGTATTATCAATTACCTTTATACAGCAGTTAGTGTTGCTTCATATGAGAAGTTATAATAAATGACAAATACACTGATAAATACGTAGCCCCTTAAAGGTCAAGTTGGGAGATTTTTTTTTGGACTGACTTTTGCGTTCCCTCGCAATTAATTTTGCGTTACCTCGCAATACATTCCGTTACCTCGCAATACTTTTTGCGTTCTGGTGCCGTCTCCCACCACCTCCAGGAAGCTCCCCACTGCATAAAAACACAGCACAGCCAGGCACTGCACCTCCGGGCTGAGGGCGAAATTGCACCGGGTTGCCCTCCAGATGTGTGGAGACACTAGTTGATGAGGCATTGTATCCCAGCACGGGGCAGCCAGTACTTCATTTGGACAGCCTGATGTGCACAGCACATACAGGAACACATTTGTTATTCCTCATATTTATTTTTCGTCTTTTTTTTTTCGGTGCGTAACTTGTGCCTCAGCTTTGAGCGCACATAGGGTCTTCATAAAACATATAGATTCAAGATTCAAAGTGTTTATTGTCATATGCACAGTAAAGACACGTGTTTCCCTGCAGAATGAAATTCGTTCTTTTCTGTTACCAATTAATGCTAAACAATATAAATCTGAAGTATAAAATAGATCAAAATATATACAGTGAGCAGTGTTTTAATATCTCCTTGCTTAGTGTAATATTAATCTGCCTGCCACGACTGGATCTGTGAGCATTTGGTTGCTAAGAAGAGTGTTAAGAGTGGGTCAGCTCGATCTTAAAACTCCTTCTTAGTGAAAGATCTTCTTAAGGTAAGAGCGAATCTGGAAAACGCGGCCATTATCATGTCAACATACATGGAAAATGTGTCCAGAGTTTATGACATTTAGCAGGAGAGCTAGAGCCATTTGACTAAAGCTGACGTTATTACTGCTGTAGCATGATTTTATTAGGTTAAATATTACATTTCTAACAGTGTCTGAGCTGATTTATTGATACAGCATGCTTGTAGGCTGCTGTAACGTTAGGTTTACAGAGGAAATAACGGGAAATAAAGATATGTGACTTAATCGGGTGAAAATATCGTTAGTGAAACAGAAACAAGCGTTAGTTAGGGGAGAAGAGCCAAGAGTCACAAAGACTCACGTATGTTAAAAGTTACTTACAACCGGTGTATTTAATATATGTGTCCGGGGTCCTTCGCCTGTGGAACAAGTAACGTGACCACTAACTTGTCCCCAAACAAACGTATGTTTCTGTTATGTGTTTCACTAATGTTTTTTATGTATTATGAAGAATGTCAGACTGGCCAATCAGTGGCAGAGTTGGGATCGGAGTCACAAATAGCGCATTTCGACTGACACAGAACCGGCACCGCGCCGGTTCCCGAACCTAATTAAGTAGGCTACTTACAACGGCATGAAAGACAATAATAACAACACTACAGTTTAAAAGGAGATCTCACCAGCTTTCTACAAGTTTATGTTGGTCACCGATCACTGCGGGCATCTAAGAGGAAGTGACAATGGTGGTTCACGGGAATCCAAAACGTTATTGCAAGGGAATGCAAAACTATTGCAAGGGGACGCAAAAGTCAGTCCAAAAAAATCTCCCGACTTGACCTTTAAGGGGCTCCGTAGATAAACACTTCATATATCTGCAAAAACCTGGGGATGTGCGTGATTAGTAGATCTCTCTACTTGGCAGCATAAATACTATTCTGTTAAACTTATTAAAAAAATTTTTTATGCGACTGGATTTTTATATTTGAATTTAAAATACGATTTGGTTATTATAAAATGTGATCAATGTTTTCAAATGGCTCTTACAACATACACAATATCTTTTCAGGACAATGTTAAACCTTTAAGGCTAGCCAACTAGTCAAAGTTTAAGCATCCATTTAAATGTCAGGGAAATTAGTTGTTAGGAAGGATTCATCTCCTTGACAAGACAAAACATCTGCAGCTGAAACATTAATTACTTGATATTTCTGCTTTAAAATATTTCATTTCAGTATCAATTACTACAAAAATATCCGTTTTAGCCAACAAAAATCCCTATCAATACAATCTGACAGCTAAGTGTAAACTTTCTCTCTACATATCTGGCCTTCCTGTCTGTAGCTCCACTCACTGCTGTTCTGTAGCAGTGACCACAGCTCCATTGTACAGCAAGGACACAACAACAGTGGCCTTGCTGATAAGGGATTGGTTGGAGCTGGGACACACACACAGACACACACAGTGGTCCAGCATAACAAAGCCTGTTGTGACATTAAGAGGAAGCCTTTAGACTGCTAGGCTAATTAGCCACAACAACTCTCCAAAAGCTGAAATGAGAGCTGGACGCTTATCTGATCAATCAAATGAACAAAGACAAAAGGGAGCGCAGTGTGAGGGGGCAGCTGTTTTTCTTGGGGGAACAGATCATACAGGATGCCAAAAATTGATTACGTGTTCTATTTCAGGCCAAAAAAGATTTTAGGATGCAAATCGATAACGACCTTGGTAACTTGTAGCGTTGGTGCATCAACAAAAATTTTGTAACTGGAAATACGTTACATTTATTCTATAGACAGTTTGGTATGTTTTAAAATCTACAAATGAATGTAAGTCCTCTTGGCTTGCTTTGAGAAACACAAACGCTGTAGAGTTTTATAGGCTCTGCAAACTTATTTTCTCATTAGCTTCTTCGTGAGTGATGGGATCCTACGAGAAGTAGCTATTTTCTGCCAAAGTTTCTCATTGGTACAAAGTGGGTTGGGTCTTATTTGGAAAAAGGTGATGTCACGTACCTCTCTGCACCAATCAGACTTAAGCTACATTCGATCAAAATATGACGACATATTAATGTTGTCAGCACTGTCCATCAAATCTGATCAAACCACCTCCACACAGTCCCTGAAGTAAATTATCTGAGGTTTTGACTGATAAACTCTCAATAAATAAATAAATGAATACAAACCTAGCCTAACCTAAAGGTATTTTTTTCCCAACTGGTTGTTGATTATTTGGTGATAAATATTTAATGTTACAGAAAAATACTAAAAGATTTATAGCCACAATTTCAAGGGGTTCTGGTATCTAGTCTAGCTGTTGGTTTTTAAACTGGACATTCAGATTTTATAGTTTAACACTCACGCATTTGAACACGGACTGATACAGGGAGCGCGTGTCTATATTAATGTTAGCTAAAAGGGGAAAAGGGACAATGCTTTTAAAATCAAACAAAATGGAAAAACTCTTCAACTTTTAAGTAACACACTGGTTTGTTAATACATAAACACCCAAGCTATGCCATGATATAAAAAAATGCTTGTTATATTTATTTTAGATGTTCAGTTTGACATACTGTTCACCAAGTTGTGAAAGCTGATACTGCTGCATTCAGTGATTCTTTGTTACCATGTTTTTGCCCCAAATCTCTAAAATAAGAATAATATATGAGGCCATTTTGGTCACTTTAAATATTTCATGATTACACTGCAATGAAGTGTTAGCAAACTGGAGAGCAACACTCAGGGGTGTCATCAGTAACTTCTAAATCTGAGAGGCAAATGTCTAAAAAAAAGGGAAATGTTTTCAAATGACATCCTTCAGTACTGTAGAGCGCAGAGAGGAGGAAGACTAATATGCCCACTGTCCGTATGCAGACAGGAAACGTGGAAATGTTCTGTTTCCTGATGCGTTTCTGCAGGCACACCTGGACAGGGGAACAGCCATGAAGCCAGGAAGGAGCAGAGGAAAGGTGGAGGGAGGCAGGGCCATGGAGAAGGATGTGGCAGACAGTGGTGATACTGTCCCCCGGTCCCCTCTGGCCTTTTATAACTCCACAGAGGCCTGGGACCCTGCCTGGCCCCTAGTGTAAGGTCACAGTAAAGGGAAGTGGCCTTGTACTCATAACTCCTGCATGCACACATCAAAGAGCAGAGGCCACGGTGTTACTGGTTCTCACTGAACTGTATGGGAACAAAAGTTGTAGTGGATGTAGCTGGGTCCTCGCAAGGTTTCAGCCAGTAGCACTAACACATGGATATTGCTGGTGGTGTAATAACTTAATACGTAACACTGTTCTGATATAAGGTAAAGTGACCTAAAGCTGGGGTGCACAAGCTGATGATGCTGTTGGGCAGACTAATAACAAAAACTAACAAATAATGTGATGCATTTAATGTAAAATGTCATATGAAAGAGGCTTAAAACAGGCTACAATACTAATAAGTGTGGTGCACTGTGGATTGGAGTTGAAAATAATTTGCCACATCCAACATGTCAAGTGCTTTGCTGAGTTTGGGTGAGAACTCTTTTGCTCTAATGAAGACAGGAAACATCAGGGTGTAGCACCTCACGCATGTCAGAGTACCCACTGATTCATGCACTCAATGCACATATCATTCTCACTAGCAGTCTCACGCTGAGACGATGTGGGAATTGAGCCACGGGAGGGAGGAACAAACGTCATCTCAGCTGCAGGGTCACGCACATCCTTGTCGCTGTCACACGCACAGAGCAAGAGAGGACCCCCCCCCCCCCCCCCCCCCCCCCCCCCCCCCCCCCCCCCCCCCCCCCCCCCCCCAACAACACTGAAAGCGACAGTCTGGGCACTGGAAAAGCCTGGTAGTCAGATTTTCAGAAGCACTGCGCTGTCTTTGATAACCGCTCAACACAAATAAGCTGACGGCTGTGACCCTGACAGATGTTCCCTCCATTGTTGCTCATACTGCTGGTGGAATGGGAGAAGTAAAATGATAGAATAGAGAATGACTAAATGAGAAAGAGGAGGAGGAGAAGGAGGGCTGGTGGTAATGGCAGGCAGACGGCTGCGGGCAGGGGTGGCAGTAACAGATGCGGGGTTGGTTTCCGCAGGGCTGGCATGGGCAGGAAGGCCCAGAGAGGGAGAACAAAGAGGGGAACGTGGTGACCCTGTGCCTGGGTGCATCCTGCCCCATCCTGCCCCTCTCCAACCAGAGAGCCATGGAGCCAGTGGTGGGTGATTAACACTTCCCCTGGCCATTCCCATCACTCAGGCTTTATTACTTTGTTTTCAGCCTTGATTCCTCTGCTATATGCTGACACTGCACTCTATTGAGGGTGACAATGAAATTGATGGTAGCAGGGAGAACACTCATACTAGTGTTTTATTTCAGGGACATATATATATGGGAAACAACATGGCTGCTGTATTACATGTAACCCTGGAGATGAATAGCTGCATCAAAACTTGCAAAGTCAGGTTTGTCATAATGCAGGCATTTTAATATCTATGCTATATATCTAAAAACAGATGGCTTCATATTTAAAAGGAATGTAGCTGATTAAAGGGACAGTTCACCCCCAAATCAAAAACACATATTTTTCCTCTTGGCTGTAGTGCTATTTATCTATCAAGATAAATTTGGTCTGAGTTGCAGAGTGTTAGAGATATCAGCTGTAGAGATGTCTGCCTTCTCTCCAGTATAATAGAACTGGATGGCACTCAGCTTGTGGAGCTCAAAGTGCCAAAATAATACATTTGAAAGACTCAACAGCAATGTCTTTTTCCAGAAATCACGATCTGGTTACTCAAGATCATCAACAAACCCTGTTGTCAGCAGTCAAATGTAGGAACTATTTTCTTTCTATCAGACTACACCTGCCAACAGTATCACCTGGCAGAAGGGAGAGTGCATCTACTGCTAGCTCACCTAGCACCACTCAGCTGGCTAATGTCAGCTGCAGAGGACACCATTGATGTTTATGTTTTGTCCTGCCACAAGCACTAGCCTCTCATCCATGAATAGATGCGTGGTTCCTTTTTTGTGTTGATACGGTTAGCAGGTGTAGTCTGGTAGAAAAAAAAATAGTTCCTACATGAAACTGCTCACAACAAGGTGTGTGGATTATTCTGAATAACTGGATCCTGATTTCTGGAAAGAGACATTGCTGTTTAGTTTTTCAAATGTATTTATTTAGCGCTTTGAGCACCACAAGCTGAGTGCCATCTAGTTCCATGATTTATAGACCAAAACAATCTAGACTGATTAACAGCGCTGCAGGTAAGACTTAAAATACATATTTTGGATTTTGAGGTGAACGTTTCCTTTAAATAATTAATTCAAACTCAAACATCTGTAAGAGTTGTTTAGTCTTCTGGGGGAAGTCAAATTTAAGTCACATGTCAGAGTCATGTCTCTATTCAGTCCAGAGAAGTCTTGATCACTTCTTGAGTCAGTTGAGACAAATCAAAGTCAAGTCACAAATCTTAATCATATGAAGTCAGCTGCAAGCCTTGTGGCAATAACATATTCAAAATTTTCCTTTCAAAGCTATGTCAATATTGTAATATTCAAGGTGTGAGGCTATGCAAGACATGCCTGACACTGTCTTATTTATTTGTCATTGGTCCTGGTTTTTAATCACACAGTCAACCAGATCGATATATTGATTCAATCAAGGATCAACGATCTTATATCATAGATGCAATAGTAAAAACATTGATCCATATCATGGAGAAAGCACATGCTGTATGTAAACAATGCCTTTATGTGATAAAACACAACATTAGGTTACGTGCCTGGACGGGCATCTTACTCTGCTAACTTCTTGCAGCAGCACAGCAACATTAGCTGCTCTGTTTCAACAATGTTCGGCTGAAAAAACATGCATGCAGGCTTAAATTCCACTGTGCTGTCTGTCACGAGTTGCAGTGACTTAAACCAATGGTGAGTAAGATTGGCAAATGTAGGCAGTTCAAAAGTGCTCAAGCCAATAATGGGTGACTAGCAAAAAACAATTGACTTGTCTATGAACCTTGACAGTTATCACTGTGCCAAAATTATTTTGTTAAATGATCTTGTTGCTTATCAAAATTTTATGGCTGTTGGGAGAGGTTTTCCTTTGGGGCTTAAAGCCAAATAGCCAGACAGTATAAGGTAAACTTTGCTGGACCTAACCGGTTACAGTTGTTTATTATTTATGTAGTGTTTTCATCTTTTATGGCCAAAAGCAAAATAGAAAGGGGTGTCAGCTTCTTCTCTAGCAGACTGTGTTAAATAGGCATATAATATTGTCTCCTATCAATCGCAGGCCCCTGAATCGCATCAAATCGAAAATGTACCGTGGCAGACTTTCTAATATCGGCAAATATTATATCGTTGTCCAAAGAATCAATATAATATTGTATTGTGATGAAACTAGTGATTCACTTCCCTAGTCAACAGTCAAGTACAGGTCAAGTCTCGAGTCCTTATATTTGTGACTTAAGTCTAACATGTATCCCAGTCTCAAGTCCAAAGCCTTGGCATCTCCTCTAGCCAAGTGTCCAGAGGCATCACAATGAGCCTTTACCATGCCATGGTGTGGTTCTCTTTTGAAACCTTAGCCCTGTGATCTCATTGTAGTGGGTGGTTGGGTGGGGGTGAAAGGTGTCTCTCATGCATATTACTTAAATGTTCCATTCTTTGTTATCAGATGAATTCAGGTTTGTCTTATTTAAAGTGAATTGACCCAAACATGTGAATCACACACAGTGACACGAACAGACTCACCAACTGCCCACAACACAGAGTCATAGGTGTCCTTGTGTTCGTTCCCTGTGAGGGTGTCAGTCCAGGTCACCTGCAGGGCTCCAGTGGAGAGTTTGTCCACTCTCTTTGGGACACACTTCCATGCAAACTTGGTCCCATATGCCTCCATGTAGTCTGTCACTAGACCTGCCATTTGCTGCATAAACCAAAAGAGAATATCCAACTTCAAACATGACAAAAAACACTATCATGATTACGGACAATAAGCAGACTTTGGTTCAGGGAGCAATACCTGATCAAACCCCCGGAGGGCGATGCTGCGAACCATCACTGTGGTGTCCAAGCCGACGCCAGTGAGAAAGCCTGCACACTCCAGAGCCACATCTGAGTAAAACCAGGTTGAGGATGACAATATTTTTCTGGATTTGCAGGTACAGCAGCACCTGATGTGTGGCTATAACACCTACACACTGACACTCTTGCACAACAAGAAAGTAGCTTATAAAGAAGGGGGATCACAGTCATGCACTATCATGTAAACAAGAAAACTGTATTTAGAACAATGTCACAGTGTGTTCTGATAGTTCACCAAATGGCCAGAGCACGATGTATCTCTGACTGAGATCTTGTCTGAGGGGTCTCAGTACTGTAGACATGGCACTCAGTGTCAAATAAATGCTAAGAGTTATTCAGAAAAACAATTTCAAACTGGTCTGATGCCAGTGTGATTTTTTTAAAATTAAGTCAGTAACTTTACCATTGCCGTGCTGACTACCAGCAGACTTTATACAGTGACTTCATTTACAAGCTCTCTGGCAGACAAAGGATACAGCTGGCTCCAACCACAAGTCTGCAAAACACAAATAAAGAGAAGCCGTTAGTCGAACTAATAATACAATAAAAATACATTTCAACATTTGTGCAGCGCACTTTGGCCAAATAAAATAAAGCAAGTCCAAAGTTGAAAATGTTTACTTTAAATCCCTGAATTAGAGAGGTGATGAATTACAAAACTGCACAACCTCAGAGGGAGGTGAAGACGTGTGAAAAGAATGTAGAAAACGGGGACAGTAAAAGGTATGTGTGCACTTGCAGTGCAGTATCAGGGGTATAAGTGTGTGTGTGGTCCAGGTGAATCACACTTCTAATCCAGCCCTGAGATCTGTAGTGTTGAGGAGGGCTAATTGCCAGCGTTTAGACTAATCCCTGCAGATGGGGTGTGCCATGTTCAAGGCTCAAGTCCACACATTAGCCGGCTGAGTGATGCCCGTCACCCGCATGGAAGAGGCCCTTCTCTCGCCCTTGTTTTTACCTCTCCAACCCAGACCACCTTCTCTGACAGTTCGGGCTGCCTGCGGCATATCCTGCTCTTGTCCATGCTAAAACTAACCGCTAAAAGCCCCGGTGCCCATTTTGTCTCCGTCTGTGTAATGCACAGCTGCACTTAGCACGTATTGTGAAGTGGCTTAAAGAAGATTAGGCAAAGAGCTTTAGCTTGATTCTACACTTTCATCACTGAGAAACTGTCTCTTTCCCCCTAGCCCTCCTTCCTTCACATTGTACACTGGTCTGGAGTCTGTACAGCTGCTTCATTTGTCATCTAACAGATGATGCTATAGATCCTTGACAACATGTCTGACCCCTTTCAGCAATGGTGACATTTAGGGGGCATGCAGACAGATTTGAGAGTGAACAGTCTCTCAAACTGCCTGCTTAATGGAAAAACTGATGTATATTTCTAAAGGCCACCTGCAGACATTCCAAAAATATGGGGACATTTAAGCAATTATATAGCCAACTTTGTAGATTTTGACAAAAAAAAAGTAGCTTTCTTCTGAGCGATAACCGCTCAGAAGGGAGCTCATATTATGAGCTGCACAAAAATGTAGCAACATCAAATCATTCCCTCCCACTTTGATTTTCATCTGTGTTTTAGACAAACTGCCATGTTAGATTAAAGAAAATATCGCAGACATGAAACAGTCAAAACTATAAAATGTGTCTAATAAAGGGAGTCACCCTGATTGTGAGAAAAGGCGCAGCTGTCTGGTCAATATGTGTGTTTAATTTCTCATACGACACTGGACTCCCATTTAATGTAACACATTGGTCAAGGAGTCTTGTGACAAACAGAAACATTATAAAACTCTTGAGGTTTGGCTTCTGACAGCTGAGTGGTAGGATGTGGTTGGGAGATCAAGCCAAGGCTCCACTGAACCCACAACTCCTGAGGACAGAGGTTTGCTGTTGACTGTCTGTGGCAGTCTGTTAACCTTGGGAAGTTCTTCAGAAGCCCCAACACTGATAAACACTAGATCTGGATACTCCTGTGTGTCTAGGACGTGGGAGGTTTTGCTGCAAAGGCTTGAAGTGTGTCCAACTTTGATACTTTTATCAAATGTTGCTTAGACTTCCTGAGGGCATTTCAGTTTGCCCACAGTCCCATGGGCCACACAGTCTTAGTCTTGCCAAAGCTGCATGGACCTTATGACAGTGTAAGAGTGGGTTAAACCTGCCTTGAACCAGCATTTAAACATTAATTAAGGAATATAAAAATGAATACATATATTTTGTCTGGTAAAGTCACGTTGGAAAAATTTAAACCCATATACAAACTCCAAAATGAACTAATTCAAGTTACATGCATGTCACCCTGGAATATTTTATATCTCTGCACTAAAAACTTGAGACACATTTCAATAAGCCTAGTTTTACACTCCACATTTCATGTATCTGTCAGGTTCCATTTTCTTTTAGAGCATGAGAGACAATTAATTGGCCAGTATAAAAGTTCATAAAAGGACCGATTCTAAATCCCTGTGAAATCCCATGGATCTGGTTTTTATTATGATAAAACACTTCTAGTGTTTCCTACTTTTCTGAGGCTTCCTAAAGAGTTCTGAATACAGCCAAAAAGAGACCCTGTAAATGTCTTTTTCCGTTATAATGGCTGGTAAATTATGCTTCAGACATCTGTGATACTTTGTAATAATCTGGTGAAAGATATTCCCGGGAAGTGTGGTCCTTGTCAAACATACAACACAACGCAGAGTTAGACCAACAACACAAACCCTCATTCTGCGCCATCTTATTCAAGTACTGGCCTATCCCCAGACCAGTATCACAGTCCTGCTGGCACGCGCTCACTGCTTTCTTCTGGTAGCATGATGATGGCAGCCAGCTCTGGGCTTTGGCCTGAGGGCCAAATCTGTCACTCAGGTGTGTATGTGCTCCAAGACCTATAAGACAGACATCACTTGCCTGCGACCCCCTCCCACAGCAGCCCCGCCAGCAGAAACAGCTTCTCGGACCTCACCTGCACAGCTGACAGCTCGGCAGCATAACAACGTCTCCGGCTCTGATCAGACTGTGTGGTTTACCCTTATAGAGGAAGCTAAAGCTAATGCTAACCCATAGCTAACTCCTTTACAGCCTGCGGGGACATGGAGAACTCCACTAACCATCACACTCTTACATCAAAGGACTTCCTGAGCTCAAGTGGTCTCTCTGAATGGATAATTCTGCTTCATATACAAAGGCGTTTTGTTGAATGGATGAATGCTTCAGTGGTAATTGTTTAAGGATGGCACTCATGTTAATTTGTTGACTATAAATGATTTTGTATTGCCACCAAGTGGTCAAAAAGCTGAATAGCATAACATGCAACTATATATATAGTACATTAGAATACCACACATTTTAGAATTAAAATTATAGAGAAACTGATGATTCTAAAAAATATTTAAAAATGGGATCAAGTGCAGACTTGCCAAAAAAAATTGCAAGCACTAATAACCACCCAAAACAAAAATGCATTAAAGAAATAGCAGCATTAAAAACAATTAAAAACTCAATGCCCCAGATGCAGACAGTCTAGATACATATGAAGCTTAAATATTGGAATCATTATTTCCGCTTATCTGTCACCGTGAGGCAAACAACAACCGCAACCCAGGTATCCCACAACCACTAGTCACATCTGCACGTTGTGCCAAGAGGAAACATCAGGGAAAGACCAATTAACCAGGTGATGACAGGGGCTAAATGGCTGGATTAAAGGGCTTGTTCTGTAAAGGTCAGGATGCACGCCGCTAATCTGAATCATGAGGCGAAGACAGGCTGACAGGAAGGGAGAAAAACAAACTCCGTGTCACTGATGAATGATTACAGTGCGTGACAGTGGGACGTGTCGTGTCAGCGAGCACGGTAGTGCGGTGAGTTCGAGCGAGGTATTAATACTGCAGAGGTTAGAGGTTCTGTTTCCCTTGTAGCTCATTGTATAGACAACGACGGCATTAATCTTACACATACTAAAATGTATGCATTCATGGGTGATATTATTTTGAGAGTAAAGCACCAGCAAAATATTTGCGTCCATGTTAACCAACAAATTAGAAAAATGAATGCTACTGTCATCATTGTGACAGAGCTAAAACTGCATGCAGGCCATCATCACATCATAAAATCAGATGCAGAGGGCACTAACTGGCTAATATTTAGCTACTAACACAATTTAATTTAATCTAATGTGTGTGCATGTGTGTGTAGGTAGGTGGAGGGCTTCCTCACGTTTTTCCGGGCGACTTTTTCAGCCAAAAGATGTCATCACTGGTAATGCCGTGCTCCATTGCTCCTGGGACCTGTAACATAACAAGAGGTAAAGCTGTGAGCACAACTATCCACCTATCAACAGCTCTATCAATAACATTAAACTCAACAGTCTGCTCACTACAACCTGCTATCTTTTGTGTGTTAAGGCTTGTACGTGTGCCATGGTGTAATGCTTCCAAACCACATTCTCCGTTTCTTCAGCGGTTTTGGCGTCTCTGTCGCTGTAGGGTATCTTTCTCATTTGTTTTGTCTATCCGGTAACCAGTCAACCAAACATCACATGTTGGCAGAGAAAACAGAGAAACACGTTGGGGGAAGGATGACAGAAGTGTTACTTACATTTGTGGGGTAGTTGGGCCGTCCACCCGTGGCGATCACAATGTTCTTGGCCGTCAAGGTTGTCTGTACGAGAGAGGAGGGAAATGTGAAGCAGTAGGTTTCGTTCATATCCTTCAAAAAACAAGGAAATGTCAAATAAAAGCAAGTGGTCTCCATAGTGTCCTGCGTTCAGTTGATGATGGAGACGCTTTGAAACAAGTAACAGTACTCTCTAGGTATGGAGGTGTTAAATCTGGATTTTGCACTTCGATTTATTAATTCAATAAAAAGCAAAAAGAAATATAAAACTTTTTTTTCATAATAGCATATTAGGGCTATTGTGTGTAAAAAAAACTAAATAAAAATATGGAGCTGGAGTATTATCTGGGTTATGTACATGGAAAAAACTTGAATATTCTCTGAGATTAAAATGGTATTTTTTTTTTTTTAAAAAGTAAAAATTTACAAAAGAAAGTGGTGCCGACGACCAGGACATGACCATAGATCTGTAAATATATATAATAATATATAAAATCATGGACGTAGCTACTGTGACATCACCCATTGGCCTGTGGACTGCTGTTTTAGCCTCAAGTTCAGCATTTCAGCCATCCTCATGTTGGTGTTTTGGACCTAGAAGTGACGGAATTAGTACGAGAGGGTGGAGCTGTGGAGGAGTGATGGGTGGATCTGTAAACTGTAACAACACCTCGTAGGCAGCCTGTCACTCAAGTGGCCCCGCCCTAAAATACGTGCAACTTTAAGCTATTATTTAGTGTGAAAGGGTGAGTTATATACAAGTTCACTCCCCTTACAGTAGTTCAGCTATACTGCTAACGTTTATGTACACACTATGCATTCAGCATCTTTATATATCCTAAAACTGAAAATAATAAGTCAACTACTGGTACATTTAAAAAACAATAAGCCAGCATTAAGTCACACAGGACATGAACCCAAGTCTCCTGGGTGAAAGTCCTGTGCTTGACCCATTCATCAATTTCAATTTTTCAGTTTTATGTATAAAGCCCAATATCACAAATCACAATTTGCCTCACAGGGCTTTACAGCATACGACATCCCTCTGTCCTTAGGACCCTTGCAGCAGACAATGTACTAATGAGAAAAAAAAGATGATATATAAAAATATAAAAAGATATATAATCAGCTACATAAAAACATATATATAAATCATGTTTTACAAAGAAATTAATACAGTTTTCGGTATAGTAAAATACAGTCTCAATAACTGAAATTCAATTATCAGTTTGGGATTGACTGAATGTATAAATATATGGATGAGCAGCTCACCTCTTTCCCTGCTTTGGTTAGTCCTTTAACAGTGTGTTCATCCACCAGACTTCCTTTGATGTTCAGATACTTCACCTTCCTGCAAAACAAACAATAAACAGCTGTTTGCTCCTGCTGGTACATTAACCTATTGTGGTAGTGCAGATCACATACAGTACCTGCTTCCCACTGTACACTTTCTACATTTCACCTTTTTAATCTGCTGAAATACAAGGTAACTCTTTCATAGTTGACTCAAAAGACACTAACAAAACCATGAACCATGGTTGCACATAGCAGAGGCTAAACCGGGCAGCATGGTACAAGGAGATCATGTCATATTTGTTGCTGGTTATGTTCTGCGTCTGTTACGGTATGGCTTATTAGCAGCACAAGTACAAGGAATGCAGGTTAAATATTGAGCTATATTGATTAGTACCATAAAAACTGAGCATCTAAATCAGGAGTAGAGAAGGTGGTTAGGCTGCAGAGGTGGTTTCAGAAGTTTTAAAAAACTTTAAAAAACTAAATTTGAATCCATTGTAACATCATGAATTCAGCCTTGACTCCCATTTAAGAAGAAAAACATATGAGTCTACAGGGGGAGGATGAGAGAGATAAGAGCCAGCAGAATATGCATTAATAGCATTTTTTTTTTATTTGTCGTTTTTAAATGAAACCATGTGGAGACTGTGTTTTGAAAAAAAAAAAAAAAAAAAGACTGGAATCAACGATTGGAAGGTAATTTTATAATTAATTACATTTAATTTTAGTCAGCTTCATTTAATATAAAGAGTGAATTTCAGTTTTCAATTGAAATTAATTTGTTTGAAATTACCCTTTTCACTATATTAATTAATATGGACATTACCAATTCTAATTTGTACAATGCAAAGATTGTCTTGGTCAAAAAAAAAAAAAAATCCTGCTATTTTAAATTGTCATGTACTAAAGTTAATTCTAGTCACAGCAGTAAAATGTTTTTGTTTTTTTTTTGTGCAAAAAAAATCTAATTTAATTATTACTGATTAAAATGGGACATTCATTTAACATTTGTGCTCATTTATCATTACATTTGTAATGAATAGACTTGTATTAAATTACTGCTTTGCACTGAGGTTGACAATGCCTCTCTGTTGCTCTGAGAGCCTCTTAGGGCTAATTGTTAATCAAAGGGGATTTAAATGGAATTAGTAGCATTACTAATATGCTGAGTGCAACTAAATTACTTCATTGGAGTGAAAACACTTTAGGTTAAGCTTGGGCACATTCACACAGAGGTTAACACCTGTTTGCCCTCCAGCCAGCCACTCAATCAACATGTGGTCGCTGACTGTAAATCCTTCAGCTTGTGTGCCAGCAGAAATGTACAGCCTTCAGCAACATTTCATGTTGTATAAATGAAAAGGAACTTAACAAATATATGGACGTTATTTTGTGGAAATTCAGTTTTAATGAAAGTTTATCATGGAAAATGAAGGGAACATTGCTACAGGGAGGGAGGAGGTGTGACATGATGAGTCCGTGAGACATGAATAACACATCACATTTATTGTACATGGCTTTAGGGATTGATTTTAGATGCCAGGTTGATACCATAGATATCAAATTAGATCATTATATAATTTAAATTGGTATTTTATGCATATACTTATATAAATTTTATGCTTTGGGCTAAAAAATTACAACATATGCAAACATAGAAAGTTAAATTCTTGGCAGGTTATAAATATTTATATTATAATGGGACACAAAAACTGTCCAGTCAAACTAAACCAGCCCTCAAATTAAAAGGCATTACTCATTTTAAACTGATTATTGAATGAAACATCATCATTAATAGAAAACAGTCTGAATACTTACTTGTCCTGGAGCTGAACTCTGTGACCCCAGTTTAGAGACTTCACGTGGTTTTGAACAGCCTCTGCCATGGTGGCCCTGGAAAACAATATAGTAATAGAAACACAAACTGCATTCACAAAAACACACAAACTGACAGAGGAAAAGATGCATCATGCTGTACCAGTATTCACAAGTAGCTACTTTGGGTGTGTTGGCTCACAGGCATAGTTAAATAATGGGAATCAAATATAAATGATAAGCAAACACACAATGTTAAAATTAGAATTTGCCAAATTGCAATTTTAGCACATTATTTGGCCCATTAGAGAACAATCAAAGCACTTCACATATTACTCACAGTTCTGGTTTTGCCCTTATAATCTTTATGGCTGCTTTTCTTTTGACATATTTTAAGGATAGATCGATCTGGCTAGTGAGCAGACTCATAGTCCCTTATGAATTGCATTTTGTTTTTTGGAATAAATAATCCAAAAAGTAATACATGGGCAGACACAGAATATTTATGAGTCCATCATCTTAGTACCTTAACAAAGCTACAGCATCTATGCAATTACACTGAGTGTTGTCCTACTTAAATTATATCACTAGATGGGGCTGTTTGGCTACTTACAAACACATATCAATCTGCTTTTATTAGTGTAGATCAGTTCCCTTAGTCTGATAAAGAACTTAAGGGAAAAGTTCTGGTTGACCTACCAGTCATGGCAGATTGGCCCTGAGATCTGCCAGCCATACTTCTTAGCATCTTTGACTGCGGTGCCAAGTAGAGCAGCCTGGTGCATGAGCTTCTTAGGAATGCAGCCAACATTAACACACGTACCACCAAGACCCCACTTGGTACCTGTTTGGAAAAGCATTTCCAGAGAACTTAACAATGGTGTCTTTATGTCTTTTAACAAAGAAAGGTATTTTTTGGTAATCAACTGGCACAACAGGCTCAGACAGATGTATTTTACCTTTGACAGATGGCTCCACATAATCTAGAACAGCAACTTTCTGTCCCAGCTGTGCAGCTGTAATTGTGGATATGTTGTCAGTGTATTGAATAGATTTTCATGTGCAAACACAGAGGCCCAAACATTATAAATAATAGGTACTTAAAAAGATCTCACCTTCTTTGGAACAGGCGAGGCCTCCTGAACCACCACCAATAACCACCAGGTCATAGTCATACTTCCCTGTGTGTGCACATGGGATGATGAAGTTGACATAGTAGAATTGAAATGGAATAGTTAACATGAACCTACTAGTGTGACCTCACATATAAAGTTATTTTTGTACAATATTATCAACCTATCTCCACCTTCTCCAAACTCCACCATCCTTACATCTGGATGTAAGTCACATCGATGGATCAACACTTTAATAGCAGTTTATGAATACAGCTTTATTAAGTTGTATATTACCAAGTTATGCCAGTTTAACCACAGAAAATGGCCAAAGCGTTTACTTTGACAGCTGTTTGACCAGGTGTGGAAACAGCTGTCAATTAATGTCACCATAAAACAAGCAGCCGAGAGAGAAGCGTTACAAATGTCGTCAGCTTATTAGCATAGACGAGGACAGCAGGTGAGTGTTATTTACACTAATTAACAGAATAGAAACTAAACAGCTGAACCAACAGTTAGTTACATCAGAGTTACATCAGAGCCGCTGGTTTAGCTGCGCCATGACAGAAACACCTCCAACTATCAACCTGAGCACATTCTGCTCTTCATATGTACACTGAATATTTGATCAACACACTCTTACCTGTCAGGTTTCTTGTCAAAACATGAAAACAGTTAGTCCTTTTCCACCGGTGCCTGCCTCTAAAGAGAGCGGCCATGTTGTTATTGTGAAAGGACCCCGACCGGATGTGTGGTGGCTAGGTAACTGCCTGACAGGAAATGGGTCGTACACAACCGACTGATCAAAATTAATATATTTCAATAGCTTATTCAGTTACATGTGTACATAAATTGCATATGGTCCACTCTAAATCAAACATTAAAATCGTAATAAATTTAACTAAATAATCCTAAAATTCCATCCTAATCATTTATGAAGACGATATATCAAACATGTAGAATATCCCTAAAAAATGTTCACTTTTGTAATACTGGCATACTCACAGTGGTGAAAAGTAACTAAGTAAATTTACTCAAGTACTTAGTAAAATTTTGAGGTACTTGTATTTGAGTATTTTCACATTCTTCTGCTTTATACTTCTACTCCACTACAATTCAAAGGCAAATTTACTTTTTATTTAACAACTTTTATTTGATGTTTTTAGTCACTAGCCTACTTAAAGATTCATATTCATAATAGTCCTACAAAATATAAAGTAAAAAAAAAAGCCCTTCTTTACCAGTTGCAACATTAGAAGTGATAAACACATTTATGCATCAGTAATAATAATTCAGTAATAGCCTATAACATATACAATTCTGGGATGGGCCATTCTGCATAATGAGTAGCCCACTTTTACTTTTGGTATTTTAGGCAGGCTATATTTTGAAAGTATGACTTTTACTTGTGACACAGGTATTGCTAGTTTGAGTTAAGTAAAATATCTTAGTACTTCTTCAACCACTGCATACTTGACATTTGCTCCACAAGGTGTATATGTAAATAATATGAAGGAACAAACACAGATTAATGGCCTATAGTTAAATGATTATATCACAGGAGAAAAAAAAAACAGGTTGAATTGATAATTTCAGTAATGGCGTCTTGTTCCAGGGCCTTGGTAAGTGTGTGATCTCATGGCTTACTGGAACACTTAATATAACTGAGCCATCACTGGGGTTATTAATTCAAGTGAAGTAAAGTACAAGTACTTCAAAACTGTATTCCAGCATAGTGGCCTAGTGAAGTAAATGCCCTCAGTTACTTTACCACTGTCTGAATGTCAAAAAGTTTTGTATGTGGCACATTAACAGGGGATAACGTTAATAAATATTCTCACCCATAATGGTGAACAGCAGATGCTGTCTTGCAAAGGTCACACTCCAAGTTTAGATGTGTTTGACCCATTTTGCCAAGCAGATCCTATACTTAGGCGATACACATATCCTAAAACAGGCTTGAATCCTGGTAATTTGGTTTACTGACACCACCCCACTGCCTCACTAACCTACAATCTATTGTCTAAGTAGATTACTTGACCTAGAGCTTCAATGTATGGCATAAAGGCACATCAAAAAATGAATAAAAATTGAAAAATTAAAATCAAAAAAAGAAAGGGGCTGGGTGCAGTGTGGTGGTTGGAATAAGTAAGAGATAATTATACCACACTGTTGTGATTCCTCTGGGTCAAATGACTAGAGTCAGGTTTAGTGTTGAATCCATCCAAGAGGGTAATGAAGGGGGCCCAGATCTTTTTTAAGTCCTCCAATTTATCCTTCAGAGCAAATCTGATTCTTTCTAAGTGGAGAGTATTAGACAGGTCATTAAACCAGTATCAAAGTGAGGGGCTGTCTAGTGTTTTGCAGCGCTGGAGCAGAACTCTTTTTGTACTATTAAGGCAATAGGCAATAAACCTACTTCAAGGCTTCCTTAATGTGTTCAGGGCCTCTCTTGTGCCAAGGGTGATGAGTTTGGGGTTTGTAATGTAAGACCTAACACGTTGGAAAAACTTACAAAAAATGTCCTGCCAGTATTTGATCAGCTTTGCAGAACAGGCCAAACTATGGAGCAAGGTGTCCACTGCAGAATCATGAGTATATTGAACATTGTAAAGGGTCAGTTCACTTGATTTTTAAAGACATATTTTCTCAGTTAGCTCCAGCGGTAAATGCAGATAGTTTTGGTTTACTTTGTGCAGGGTTTAAGATATTTCTGTTCCCACCCAAATACAGTGGAGATTCACCGAATTCCATTTGTGGAGGTCACACAATTGACAAATGGAATATTAAAATTCAACAACATTATTTTCCAGAAACAGTGCCCTCCCCCATTACTCTGGACAATCCACAGGCAACACTTTTCATAAGGACCATTTATGATTACATAAAAAGTAATTCTAGGGAGGGTTGTACTGAGCATTGTAGCCTCTTGGGGATGCAATCATGACCTTGAGTCTTACTGAAAATTAATGACATTATATCAAAAAAGACACAGAGGCAAGCAACGCATTCTTTCCAGGCATGATTTATTGAAAACACACCAAATTTATACTCTACAAACCAGTATTTTTCCGTTATGTTTAACAAGCGTAATATTTGCCTCTGGGTATTAGTAAAATTAACATGATACATTCTGTCACTGTGGCATCGCTTCTGCTCGCTATGAAAGCATTAACAACTTTACTCCTCTAGGAAATCGAAACCATTATCTGAATGACTATCTTTTTCAAAGTTTATAATACAATGTAATACAAGGCAGAAACCCACCAACAGTCTACACTACATGGGGCTGGGGGGGAGAGGGATGGTGGGGTGGGCTGGGGGTGCAGGATGAACAGATGAGTTGAGTGGAGGAAAAAGGGAGGGAGGGTGACACAGGGAGGAGAAGGGGGAGAGGTGAACAGACAGAATGGAGAGATGACAGTTGAGAGGGAGGAATAAAGTTATATAAAACACACTTATCTTTATCTACCATGGAAAAGGTTAAGGCACATGATAGGTACAAACACATCTGCTACTGAGTAGTACAGTTACTTTATTTTGACGGTCTTGATTCAGTTATATCTACACAGGTAGGTTCGTTTGATTCAATGTGTGTCCGTGTCCTGCATTTATTTTACAGCACAGTTGCTTGGCTCTTTATTTTGTAAATGTACAATGCGCTGCACATCCACAAAACCAAAACCCCCTTTTTTTTGAATGCATGTAAATACAACTCCAGATCCTTTGGTTGTGGTACTGCGAAGTGCAGTCAGGAATAGACAGTCATATGGGTCATTGTTGCAAGGGTTCAGTATTGTCCAATGAAAGCACACACTTCTGAGGACACACAAAAGGGATGCTGGGTATCGTTATAACTTTTTTTTTTATCCTCTGAAATTAAAATTTATACAGTAAGATTTTTTTTGTAGTTTATTGATTTTTACCACAACATACATCTTTGTAAACACCGTGTAAAATATGCAAGCTTTATAAAGTCACATACGTCACAAAGAAAAATCAATGCAGGCACATGCCATTCGCCTTGATGACGCATGAGTGATACCAACATCGGATTGGATTCTCTCTCTGTCTCACTGACAGACTGAGGCTGGAGAGGAGACCCTACGCATTGCCGCTGGATTTAGTGTGCAGTCTCGCCAAGCAAGAGAAAAATGGCAATTTGATTTTGTATCTCTCTGCTTTTCTTCATCTCAACTGCCCGCCCTAAAACGTTGTAAAAATATATACTATATGACTGAACTTGATGTTTCGTTTTATACAGTGTGATGCATCTCTTTCATTTCCCCTTGAACATCCAGATCCACTCGTCCACCTGCATTCTTCTCTTGCATGTGAATGAATTAGTTAATATCCAAATGACACCACAAAAAAACTGGCACTTGGAAAGAATAGAATATAAACATCTGTACAGTTTTTCTTCATGCTCACGACTGAATTATTTCTCTTTAAGATGCACCGGTGAAAGAGGGTTGGCTATAGCTTGGTCTGAATGTATTAGGAGGAAAAACTAAGAACTTTTATTAACACTGCTGTCTCCTGTCTATCCTGTTACTTCTGTCTGACCTCTGACCCCTCCAGAGTGTCTGGTTCAAAGATGCATCGGCTGCCAGACAACGCATAATTCATCGCCTTTAGAAAGAACACTGCAGATAAACTTTTTTTTTTTTCTGTAACTTTTTGACAAATACAAAATATAAATAGGTGATCGTCGGCGTAACTCGACAATATCTGACACACATTTAAGTTACGTGGTTATTTCTTGTTTACAAACATGGTGAGCCTTTATCAAATGAGATGTGCTTTCCAAACAATGTGATATTAATATACAACTAAGAAGTCGGTAATTTTTGTTGTTTTTTTTTCTTTCCTTCATTTTTCCATTTTTTTCCTTTTGACCCTAATATACATTTATATAAAACCCAACAAAAATAAAAAAATGCTTTTAGATCTATCCTTTCAACAAGAGAACAATCGTTTGCCTCTCTTTTTCAAAAAACACAAATCATTTATAAACAAAATGCCTTATATCCTCTTTAATACACATCATTGACAAAGAGCAACCAGCCAGGAAACTCACCAAACTGCGTCGCTACACAACCTGAATGGTTACACAAGTAACCACAGCTCCGTGAAAGAGGGTCAACATGTTGACCATGATGAAACAGAAACTGTTTGTTTCCATTTCAGCTTACTTTTGCGGTGCAGTGTGAACAGAAACTCCATCTGATGAACACAATATGCCACTTTCCTTTCTCCAGACCACAACTTGCAAACTCCTCACTTAATAAATGGACATCCATCACTTGCTAACCACTTTTGATTTCAAAGAGTCTCAGTGCACTTTTTTTTTTTAAATAAACACAGTGAACCAAATGGATTGTAAGTCTATGAGAGCAGACTGCTGTGTGTACATGTTTATCCACTATGCTACAGCTCTTCTTAGGCTCGGTTTCTTTCCTTTGCCTTTCTCGTGTCCATCCCACCAATCAGAATACAAACATCCCGTGACCTTCAAACACACCAGTCCATACCTGTTCACATCAAAATACCAAAGCTTGACAACAAACTGAAAGTGAAAATTCTCCAAAACCCACAAACTTTGGGGGTTAACTTCTTCCAGATGTGAAAACTCAAATGAAAAAAAAAAAAAGATCATTTTGTATTTCTTGTCCCACAGGTCTCCTTCCAACACGTTCCTTCACCATTTACTTCCTTCACCTCACTTTGTC